GAAGTGCCGCTGATTGCTGCCGCAGTCGCGTCTCCCTGCACGGACTTAGCAAGCCTCTGAACCATGAAAAAGGTATCATTTTGCTGCATTAGGCGGAAAAGGTATATGGAGATTTGACGTGCGTGGTGTTTCATAACTTTCTCTGGATAAAAATAGGGGCATTTGTCTTTTTTCATCTAGGGCGGAATCATTTCTGAAATGGAGTCTTAAATTTCGAGGTGTAGAGCATTTCCAGTTAAACATCCCTGAGAAAACTTGCTTCATGTTTTTCTGCCCAAATGGGGAGGAAGATTGCAGAAACCTGTTACCTCCTGATAATGGGTGCTCTGAAGGGGAGTGGGCGTGCAGGAAGCTGCATCTCTCCTAGAAAGCCCCTCATCCTATGCTGGCTTTTGTTTCACCTCAGAGCTGTGATTCAGAGGGAACACAGGCATTCTGAGAAAGAGGAAAAAAGGGTAGTCTTGCACAGTGGCATTTTTGGGGTGCCCCCCGAGTGCCAGGTACTGTGACAGAAAAGGTGATGAACATGTTGACGGTACAGAGAACAGAGATCTATTCCTGTTGCAGGGAATTGCTGTGGGGGCTCTTGGGAGAGTGGCTGTCTTCATCTAGTCCCTAACTGGTGCTGTGAATTAAGTCTGTGAAGGTAGTAGAGGGCTGCTGCTGAGACTTGGGCAAAGAAGGGATGGAGGCAGGTTGGAATGGCCTTGGTGATGCAATTACATTTTATTTTTTGTGTTTGTTTTTTAGTTTATGTGAGAGTATTTTGTCTGCGCATATATGTAGTATACCACATATATGCCTGGTGTCCACAGAGGTCAGAGGATGGCATCAGATCCCAGAAACTGGAGTTATGGATACTTGTGAGCTGCTGTAAGGGTGAATCATAGGTGAGACCTCTGCCAGAGCAGCCAGCGCTCCTAACCACTGAGCCCCCTCTTTAGCCTTATTTTTTGAGGCAGTGCGCCTGACTGAATTTCAAGCTAGACTGGCCAATAAGACCCTGAGATAGATCCTCTTGGATCTGCCTAACTGATACTGAGATTACAGTCCCATGCTGCCATGTCTAGCTTTTTACACGGCATTCTGGGCATACAATTTAGGTCCTCAGGTTTGCAAGGCCAGCCCTTTACTGATTGAGCCATCTCACCCGCCCCAGTACCTGAAGCGATAACAGCTGGGAGATGTAGTTTTTATTAGGGTGATGAAAGCCAAGACAAAAGCCAGGGTTCAGACCACCCTCGAAGGTCAGAAGGGCTGCGGCATGTTGTGTGGCCAACCACCCTAGTACTGCTCTCTGCGTCTGCCTGTGCAGTTCAAGAGAGATGGCCATGCTGTTCCGCTGCTGTGCCCTAGTTTGTCTGCACACACTCCCTTTTCCTGCCAGACCCCTGTGATGACCCCCCGAAACCTCCCATACTCACACTCCATGTATTGTGAAAGAAGCAACAGAATATGGTAAGGTCTTAGGGCACAGGGAAGGGGAGAGGCCACACCCTTGCCGTGAAGACCAAGACTGGCTATGTTGTTGCTTTGAAACAATGTCATCTGGCAAAAGCAGGATTTAGTTTACCCTCAAGGCTGGGATGAAGGGGAGAAATATAGTAGATAAAGATGGTATTCACAGCCAGCCTCCCTCCCCCCTTTTGCCACTACACATAGAAGCCTCCTGCTCGGTCCCCTAGGCCTCTGTCATCCTAAGATCTGAGCAAACAGCTCCTGACGTCTTGTCTACCTTCCTTTCTGGAGTGACTAGTAATGTCTATTGTGACTAGTAATGCTTATAATGCTTGCTGCACCCGGCAAGAGAGCTGTTAGAGTAGAGCTGTTTGGTGTGTGGAAGCTGGTTTAGCCAGGCCCAGAGAAGAGTCATAGAGACCATCCCAGCACTAAGATAAGATGGCTCAAGGAGGCTTGAGAAGGGTCGTGGTGTAGGGGGTCTCCATCACATATGGTAGCTGGATAGTAATCCAGGCAGGCCCTAAATGGCAGTGTTAGAGAAGCGGTGGCCTGGTCTTCAGGAAGTGAGGAAAGCAGGGAGGAAGGGGGCAGAGCAGGTCCTCCTGCCACCATTGCTTCGCCTTGATGCTGTCAGATCACGTGGGGAAAGGAACAGAGTTTGAAGGGACTAGGTTGGCATCTGCATTAGGGTTAAGCAGGGACATCGTTGCAGTGCTACAGGCTGTCCACCAGAGGGAGACAGAACCCCACATATGAGACCTAGAGGACAGTAGCTGCAGAAGTAGGCCTGCATGGTCTCATTCTCCCCGCAAAAGACTAGGCAAATGTTTGCCATGTGGAACATAGCGTAAATTGTGGGCGTGCTTGCGCCGCCAGGGGTAACATTATAAGGCACTCTCCCACCCCACCCTGGGTCATGCCCTTTCTCCACTTCTCCGCTTCATTGTTGAAAACGGGATCGTCTCCATCTTATTCTGAGAGGACATCAGGTTCGTGAGGGCACCGCTGGAGGTGGCAGCATCATGCCCTCTGCTCTGAGGACCCAGCTAGTGGTGTGTCTATGCCCTGGGTAGGAATCACACCTACCTGTGGGCATGGCTGAAGGGCTTGCCTGTCTCTCAGCTGCACATCATTTTGACCTTCGATTTTTTTTCATCCATGGATAATAAAAACCAGCCCTTAACCAAGGTCCTGAACATGGGAGACATCAGAACATCAAAATTCCCTTGAGAGTGAAGGCAGGAGAGTTCGGCAATGACGACGATGGGGGCTTACCCTTCTCTCAGTCATGGAAGAAGGTATTCCCAATGAAGGCGATGTGAGAGGCCATGTGGCCACTCAGTGTTATTTTAAAAAACATAATATTTTTATTGATTGTTTGGGAATTTCATATAACGTACCTCAGTCACATTCACTTCCCAGTCCTCCCAGGTCCACTCTCCACTCTTGTAATTTATTCCTCGAAAAAAAAAGAAAGAAAGAAGAACAAAAGAAAAAAAAACCCAAGTTCATTTTGCATTGCCCATATCGTCACTGGAGCATAGGCCAGCTCCCAGTGGCCAGCCCCTGAAAGAAAACTGAGCCCTTCCCACCCCGGCCCCAGCCAGAAGCCATCAACAGTGATGAACAGCACTTCAGCATCGCTATCACAATTTCCAAGAGTTCTTTTCAATGGCTTCCTGTCTAGACTGTTTCTTTGTTTGGGTGGTGGGGTGTGGAGAGGTTGTCACAGAAGCCTTCTCTGTCTCTCGTTCTCAACTGTGAGTCAGCAGCCATCAACACTGCTGCAAAGGAAGCTTCCTTGTCCTTTACAGTCAGTGGCAGCAGGGATCATGGATGCCCACACGGCCACTGGCAGCAGCACAGACCATGGTCCTCAGCATGGTCTCCAGTGGCAGCACAGACTGTGGACATCAACCTCAGCATGGACCACAGACACCATCATGGATTCAGGTGGCAGCACAAACCACGGACTTCCCTGTGGGCTTTGGCAGTAACATGGACCACAGAGATCGATGCGGCCTCCTTCGGGAGCACAGATCATGGAAGTCACTTGGTCTTTGTTTTTTTTTAATTAAATTTTTTATTTTTTATGTTAGTTACAGTTTATTAACTTTGTATCCCAGCTATAGCCCCCTCTCTCATTCCCTCCTAACCCCACCCTCTGTCCCTCAGCTCCTTCCAGCCCCTCTCTAAGTCCACTGATAGGAGAGATCCTCTTCTCCTTCCATCTGACCCTAGCTTATCAGGTCTCATCAGGACTGGTTGTGATGTCTTCCTCTGTGGCCTGGCAAGGCTGCTCCCCCCTCACGGGGAGGGAGGTCAAAGAGCCAGCCATTGAGTTCATGTCAGAAACAGTCCCTGGTCCCCTTACCAGGGAACCCACTTGGAGACTGAGCTGCCTTGGGCTACATCTGAGCAGGGGTTCTAGGTTATCTCCATGAATGGTCCTTGGTTGGAGAAACAGTCTCAGAAAAGACCCCTGCGCCCAGATATATTTGGTCTTTGTGGAGCTCCTGTCCTCTCCAGGTCATACTAACTCCCCCTTCTTTCATATGATTCCCTGCACTCTGACCAAGGTTTGGTTACGAGTGTCAACATCTGCTTTGATACAGTGCTAGGCAGAGTCTTTCAGAGGCCCTCTGTGGTAGGCTCCTGTCCTGTTTCTTGTTTTCTCCTACTTCCAATGTCCATCCCATTTGTCTTTCTAAGTGAGGACTGATCATCTTGCCCTGGGTCCTCTTTCTTGTTTATCTTTTTTAGGTGTACAGATTTTAGTATGTTTATCCTATCTTATAAGTCTAGTACCCACTTATAAGTGAGTATATACCATGTGTGTCTTTCTGCTTCTGGGATACCTCACTCAGGATGATCTTTTCTGGATCCCACCATTTGCCTGCAAATTTCATGATTTCCTTATTTTTCATTGCTGAGTAGTATTCCATTGTGTAAAAGTACCACAATTTCTGTATTCATTCCTCTGTTGAGGGACATCTGGGTTGTTTCCAGCTTCTGGCTATTACAAATAAAGCTGCTACAAACATGGTTAAGCAAATGTCCTTGTTGTGTACTTGAGCATCTTTTGGATATATGCCTAGGAGTGGTATAGCTGGGTCTTGAGGAAGCACTATTCCTAATTGTCTGAGAAAGCGCCAGATTGATTTCCAAAGTGGTCATACAAGTTTACATTTCCACCAGCAGTGGAGGAGGGTTCCCCTTTCTCCACAACCTCTCCAGCATGTGCTGTCACTTGAGTTTTTGATCTTAGCCATTCTGATGGGTGTAAAATGAAATCTCAGGGTCGTTTTGATTTGCATTTCCCTGATGACTAAGGACATCGAACATTTCTTTGTTTTTCTGCCATTTGATATTCTTCTATAGAGAATTCTCTGTTTACCTCTGTGCCCCATTTTTTAATTGGATTACTTGATTCCTTGCTGTTTAACAGCCTCTGTCAGATATAGGGTTGGAGAAGGTCCTTTCCCAGTCTGTAGTTGTCGCGCGCAGCCTTCGCCGATAAGGATGACGCGGCAACCGAGGAGTGTCCAGCAACAACTTTATTGTTACAGCTCTTTTAGCAGATGGTGAAGGAAGGACCCAGACCCCGGGTTGTGCTCTGCTTAAATAGCCAGTCAAGGCGACGTGTTCGTCTGTGATTGGTGCTCCACACAAAACCTGATTAGCATATGATCCCTAATTGGAGGACCACATAAGCCTACATTAGCATAAGGTGGCACATGCGCAGATCGCAAAGCCTTTGGCGGGAACCGCTCCCGCCAAAGCAATGCTGGCAAGAAGAACCAGGAAGCAGGAGACCGGCGCCACCTTGTAGTGGCGGGAGCGGCTCCCGACATGTAGTCTGTTGTTTTGTTCTGGTGACAGTGGAAGTCACTCGGTCTTAACTGGTCTTGAGACCATGGTTCTCTAGGTTGGTAAGTGATCACACTGGTTCTCCAAGAGGTTAAACCTCTTGCAGAAAGCATTTTTTGAGATGGCCTTAGCCCATACTAAGCTGCCATGGTCCCTTAGGAATGGCCCAAGATGGCCTTATATTCCTCTCAGGTGGTTCCTTTTTCTAGATGGTGGTATTGTTTAATTGGAGCCCCCACTTTGGCGCATATTGTGTCAGGAAAGACTGCTCCAGAGTTCATGAGGTTTTCCCCACTCATCTTTCTTCTTGAGAGCAGATTTGTGGGAACATTCACAGGTTCTGACAAGTTTCATTTCTGAATAAATAAATATTCTTCTCTCTAAGCATTAGAGCGAAGTCCAGAGGAAGCCTAAGTCACTCCCCTGTCACCTCTTCCACTGTCCACGGGAAGGGGTGCATTTTGTTATTGCGTGTGTCTGATTCAGAGACAGGGATGGGAGATGGATTCATTTCTGTTCAATTGGTTTAGTCTTGTAGCCTAGGGAGGGGCTGTAGAGGAAGCAGACACTGGGTTGTGGCTGGAGAAAATCAAGTAGGGTGCAAGAAAGGCAAGATGGAAGGTCAAGGAAGCTATCCAAGAGGGACTCTGCCCCAGAGAGAAAGAAATGGAAGAGGATGAGGGTTCCCTGATGGAAGTGGCAGTCTATGTTATGGTGGGCCCAGGGCATCAGCCTGACTTCATCAAACTACTTCTGTGCCCCTCTGTTGGTCATGTGTGGAGGCAACAGGAGCACACAGCAGTGGCTGGAGCTCCGGCCTTGCAGCAGGAGCCACCCCAGAGAACAGAACCTGGGACGTGATTTGCAGCTGTGCTGGAAGGGACCTCTGAGTTCTAATAAGGCTGCTGCTTCCTTAGGTCTCTGCAGCATGATTTTCCATCTTCTGCCAGCTCCAAACATAGCCTCTTTTAGACCACAGGACCCTTCACCAGGTGACAAGTGGAGTTCAGTGCTGGGTCCAGGAAGACAGGACAAGGGCAAGGTCTTGTATTGTGGATGTTCTAGTGCCCATTAGAAGCACAAGCTGACACATGTCAGCTCTGCGATTTCTTCAGAGTCTGGCTGTGCAACATTTTTGGGGTTGGGCATAGCAACACAAATTCTTTGGTCTTCCATATTCCCACCTGTGCAATGGAAAGACCCGTCCGTACCCTGCTCTTCCGTGCCGTGCCCTTCCCTGCCTTTTGGTGAGATGTGATGACAGTGACTTTGAACACATTTGGTGCCCTGAGGAGCCTGGTACAGACATGGAGAGTGTCATTGTACTCTTTCTTCAGATAAGGTAGGATACCTACTCTCTCTTATCTCCCAAGCATCTCCTCAGCTTACCTGTCCTCTTTTTGGGAGATGTCAGCTCCCTTAGGGACAGCCAGTTGCATGGTTCCAATTGAAGCTGCCACGCCTGTGTATTTATTCTCCAAGGTGGGTGAAGGAAGGGGACAGTGCACTTTTAGCCTGGCCCGTTTTTTCTTTGATACCAGCTTAGACGATTCTTCAGGACACCAGCAGGGGGCAGTGGCACCTCACATCTCAGTGTCTCCCTACACTTTTAGGCTACAGCCCTGGGATGGGCCAGGAAAGCCACTTGATTGAGCAGTGTGTGTGCTGTTCATCAGGCATGTCTAGAATGTCTTAATGACCTGAGCCTAAAGGCCTGGTGTGGCAGGGCCACCCCGACAGTCAGGCCTGGGCACAGGCACTGATTTCCTTCCAGGAGCAGAGGTTGAAGGGGAGCTGAAGAACACTGAATACTAATGAGGCTCCCAGCTGCCCATGTGTCCCACTGAGACCCTGACTAGAGATAGTGACCACAGATGAGGCTAAGTGAACCCGAGGGGAGACACCTGTCTGGGTCCTCTAGAACCTGCCTGGGAGCTCAGGTGGTGACAATAGCAGGGGTGCACTCAGGCAGGCCTTGAGGAACGACCCAGGCCTTGACTGGGCACGCTCCTAACCCTTGGACATACAGGCAGGGCCATCTTCTCCCCTACCGGGGTCTCTTCATGTCTCTCCTATTTCCCAGCTCCAGCCCCTGGCCCAGCTACCCAGCTCCTAGAAGCCCAGTCATGTGATGCTGCTAACTCCTCCTGTGGGCTTCTGGGTGCCCCAGGTGTGGCTGCAGGAGCTGCTGAATTAACATTACTACAGCATCGGTTCCTGGTGACTGTCACCCGGGGACCTTGCAGGACGAAGCTCCAAGAGGACATGCACTGACCATGACAGCTTGGCCCAGGGCTCTGGGGGACTGATAACTGATGAGTGGTTGGGTTTCTCATTTTTCACTTAAAGAAATTTTAAAGGAACTTTCGGGTGGGGTGTGGTCATTTGACCCATAGCTAGACCTGTCCTAAGCTTTGCAAGTCACACCAGCTTCCCGAAGGTGATGGCAGGGTCTTCCCAGAATCCCTCACCCTAGAAGACAAGGACCATACATAATTTTTACTCAGAGACACAAATCACGCCTCAGAATATTCTGGGCTGAGGCTGTAGGCTGTTTTGTTCTCTTTACTCGTAATCTTTCTACTGCCTAAGTGCCACAATTGCTAAAACATTTACTCAGCAACATTTCATCCATACAGTCCTTGGTTGAACCTGCCTGCACATATTTTTTGAGTTCTTACCATGTACGAACACCCTTCTCCCTCTCTTGGATTGCTGTAATATTTTAGGCACCATGAGTAGTCAGGATTTACCATCCTGATGAGAACCAGCTGTGGCTCCAGCTGTGGGGCTAGACAGAGGGGTAGGAGCCAGATGATAGAGGAACAGCAGCAGGAACAGCCTGGCTGGATATTGCAAGGCAGACATGGGGAAGAAGAAGTCAGAAAAGGCAGGAGGTAGCACAGACTGGGGCGAGAGAAAAGGACAGGTCAGATCAGGGAGAGGGAAGGGGTCAGGAGAGGAGGAGGCTCAGTCAAGATGAAGGGGCTCTGGGACTTGGTGGGGGAGGACTGCTGGCAGGAGGACCGGCTGCTGGCAACTCAGTCAGAGAGCCTGGAGGTCAGGCTTGGAACTAGTGGGCTTGAGGCACTTCCCCAGGGATCTCAGATCATAGCTCCAACCACAGCCCAGTTTTCTACTGCTGGTGAGAGCAGCGCCATGTATGACAGGGTCTGAGAGCTTGTGTTCGGCGTTTCTGAACAGGAGAGTAGACCAGTAGTCCAGAAGTACGAGACAGAGCTGGCCCAAGGTGAGCCGCGCACTGGTGTGGAGGGAACACCGGACCTGAGCATTTCCTGCTGCAGTGCGGTGAGCTCCTTCAGGACTGCCAACCTGGCCCTGCTGCCTGTGTACCCTAACTGTGACCCCATCTCTGCCTTTCTCTGGCCCGGGGTCAACATCAGTCTGTTCTCTGCTCCTTTCCTGAGCCTTCTCCCGGGTGATAGGTGCTTGCAGACTGAGTGTCATGTTAACAATTGTGAATGGCTCGACATCTTCCAGGTGGGAACCTTGACTAGTTTAACACAGGGTCATGAGACTGTGGCTGGCCAGGCAGGGCCAGTGAAGGGATGTTGTAGAACATTTTTGAATCCAACCCCCTCACTGTTTGGATGCTTGTGCTTTCTGCTTAGAGGCCAATTTGTCCCTATTCAAGAGTCTGTATTCAATATAGGAAGTCTGTAAGGGTTTAGGTTCTACTTTTCTGTAGGTGGTTCTGAGAGCCTAAAAGCAGGCAGGGCTTCAGATTTCTGATTCTCCTTGGCCCTCTTAGTTGAGATCAGTGTGGTGAGCCTTTCTACCTCTGGTGGGAAGACAATAGCTGGGCCTTGTCATTTCTTTTCCTCTTCCTTCTCCTTTTCTTTCTTCCTCATTCCTCTGCTCTCCTTCCTTTCTCTCTCTTTTTGTCAGTAGTGACTGAACACAGAGCTCTGTATACACTAAGCAAGCAGTCTACCACTGAGTTATTTCGCTAACAGTTTTGTGTGTGTGTGTGTGTGTGTGTGTGTTTGCACGTGTATGCGCGTGCGCGCGCGCGTGTGTGTTTATGGTGAATGCATGTCATGTGTGTGTATGTGTGTGCAAGTGGGCTCACCTGTGCATATGGAAGTCAGAGCTTAACTTTGGAGATCTCCTTTATATCTCTCCATCTTATTTTTTGAGACAGTAGCTCACTGAACCTGGAGCTTGCCAGTTGGCCAGGCTGGCTGGCTAGCTAGCCTGGAGTTCCTCCTGCTTCTGCCCCATCAGCAATAGGGTTACATGTGT